ACCCATACGAGCAGCTTGAATAAGAAATCAAAAGGATCAAGAACGAGAACCCCACTTATATATAGAAGAAATTCGAGAAGAATTGTGAAGAAGAGGAGGAAAATAACGCCTCCCGTCGGTGGAGAAGAGAAACCCTAAATTCTTGAAGAAGAAAAGGGACTAAAGAAGTGTAAATTATTAAAGTGGGCTTTGACTGTAAATTCAAAAATCATGCGCTCGCTTTGACGCTAAGAGGTTTTTAAATTGACTATTTGGACCCCTAAATATAAGGGTAATACAAATTGATACTCTGATTTTTATTATTTTTTTCCAAGTAGGTGAGGTGAGCACTTGCTTCGAAGTTTTGAAGATAAGTTTCGAATATTAAAAAGTTACAAATTCTTTATTTTTATCTTTCCATTATAATTTAACACAAACAAAAATAATATACCTTATATAATTCTACAAATAAGGTCTGAAAAAGGTGATGTGTACTATCTTGTAAAAGTAAAAAGATAATTTTTAATATTCTTTTAAAAAAATTAATTAATAATAAGAATGATATAGATATAAAATTAAAAATTATTTCTTGATTTTTTAAAATACATCTATGTTTAGGACAACAGATAGAGGGGGGGTTTTTCTAACCAAATAATAAGAAAAAAAGGTTTTAGTTCAAATTTTGCCTAAAATTCTCCAAACGAGTTTTTTCAAACTTAAACGGAATGCCACGTTCAGTCAAATTTAATTTGAAATTAAAGTTGATATGTCACACTCTTTGTACTAAATTTAGGTTGAATTTATTTCATCACAATATCATATGATTTGACAAAAAAATATATAATCATTTGATTTTTGTATATAACTCAGTGTATCATATGCTCGATATATTTACAACAAATACAGTTAATACTTACTCATATTCACAAAGTTTATATTATTATATTGTACTATATTTTATATTAAATTATAAATGTCAAAGAATTCACCCCAATTCTTGTTGGTAAAAATATTACGGTTTGTACCAATACAACAAATGAGAAGTGGATACTCCCTTCGGATACAAATTATTATTCTCGTAAGTAATGTAAAATCTCTAATTTATGTGCAAAGTATTTTTTGAAACATTTTTCTATATTTTGATTTAAAAAAGTTGTTGATCGACATATACTTTTCTTTTCACTCACTCTACTTATGAGGTTATGTTGAATTTGTTGTTGTTGTAATCTTAAACAAGTATTTGGGATCAAGAATAAATATATCAACTCCAAAACACTAATTTGATTCAAGAATTCTAAAACACAAAAATTATTCATTTGAACTCCATATCATCTGACATGACATTTCTGAATGCTTATGTCGATTTTTATATATGTTAGCCATATCATTGCAGATTAAAATATCAAAAACGAAAATCTAATAACGGTTGATTTTTATTTTCGTTAATATTTTAGATATGCTTCACATCACCTAAAATGTCTAACATATATGCGACAGCCCACAATTATGACAAAATTCAATAATATGGATAATATTTGTTACTGATTAATGAGGAGTTTGTTCTTCAATATTAAGATATATTTTCAAATTAATTGATATCAATAATTTAATTATTTTTCTTGGTTTCGAAATGATGAAAGATAATGGAAAAATAAAGAGACA